TCTGATAATTCTGAAATTATGGTAATGTAATTGCTATGGAAAAAGTTGTATGCATAGCTCTCTTACTCAGCATCATAGAAGTCATACTAAAATAGCCTAAGAATGTAATCAGTGTTGGGAATGCTTCATGTGTTACAGAAGTCACTGGCAGGGTGACCCATGAATGACAAGGTGGGTACCCCTTCAGTAGGAGTCCTCATTGTTTTCAGCATAAGAGGACTCATATGGGTGGAGATGCCCTGAATGTAATGGAGATGCTCTGAATGTAATCTCTTCACTCAAATTAATTGCCTTAGCCCTCACTTTATTTAACAGAAGAAATAAACTTACCCTGGACAAGACAGGTGGATTGCTTGCGCTCTGGAGTTTGAGACCAGCCTGAGGAAAAGCAAGACCCCTATCTCTAAAAATAGCCAGGCCCTGTGCTCCTGGGAGGCTGAGGCAAGTGGACTGCTTAAGCCCAAGAGTTTGAGGTTGCTGTAAGCTATGATGCCAGAGCACTCTACATAGGGCGAGTAAGTGAGATTCTGTCTCAAAAAAGAAAATTATGCTAGAAAGAAACACATTGAACAATGTAAAGGTAATGTTTTATCCTAGGTTTTTTTTTTTTTTTTTAATTGAGTCTCACTGTGTCATCCTAGGTAGAGTGCTGTGGCATCACAGCTCACAGCAACCTGAAACTCTTGGGCTTAAGTGATTCTCTTGCATCAGCCTCCTGAGTAGCTGGGACTTCAGGTGCCCACCACAATGCCCAGCTATTTTTTGGTTGCAGTTGTCATTGTTTAGCAGGCCCAGGCCAGGCTTGAACCCACCAGCCTCAGTGTATGTGGCCGGTGCCCTACTCACGGAATTACAGGTGCCGAGCCTTATCCTATTTTTTATTTCATACAAACCGTACCTAAAGGTTTGGTAACATAAGTATATAAATGTAGTAAAACAGATCTTTTCTAGTTTGTTTTACTCTCTGACCTGATCGTCTAGATTTAGGGAACAAACACTCCCTGGCATCCAGTATTTGGTACTCAGGGCTAAATGCAAGAGCTGAAGTGTCTTTAACCTTTAATTGAATATGAAGGAAAACAAACTAAACTTTTGAGGCAGACACTTTTTAGAGAAAAGAACACCTCCTCAGCTTGGAGCTTGAGCTCAGCAGTTAAGGCACCAGCCACATACAGTGGAGCTGGGTTTGAACCCAGCCTAGGCCTGCCAAACAACAATAATGACAACTACAATAACAAAAAAAAAAATAGCCAGGCATCGTGGTGGGCACCTGTGGTCCCAGCTACTTGGGGGGCTAAGGCAGAGAATCGCTTAAGCCCAAGACTTAGAGGTTGCTATGAGCTCTGACACCATAGCACTCTACCAAGGGCAACATAGTGAGACTCTGTCTCAAAAACAAAAACAAAAACAAAAAAATTACTAAGGGTTTTAGAACCTCTTTGTCTGGAACCAGGAGCAAAGGCCAAATATACATATTCATTAGTCTCAAGCTGTCATCCTAGGTAGAGTGCTATGGTGTCACAGCTCACAGGAACCTCCAGCTCTTGGGCTTAAGCAATTCTCTTGCCTCAGCCTCCCAAGTAGCTGGGATTACTGGTGCCTTAGCTGCTTGAGCTACAGGTGCTGAGCCTATCAATTGATTTTTTTATTGTTACCAGATATTTTGTTATACAAGGAGATCACAATTTGTTTATATAGTTCTCAGTTGATGGCCAAAAAAGAAAATAACACAGATGTCCTGTTATGAATAATACTGCATTCTGAGACAGCTTTTTGTGTGCATGTGCTTTCAGTTCTATAAGAAGTACTCAGTTCTTTTAGAAATATCTACTAGACAGAGAATTGGGAGGGTTATGTAACTTTACATTTACATTTTTGAGGTATTTTGCGAAGTATTTTGCAAAGTGGTACAGCATTCTGTATTTCCACAAGGAGTTTATAGGTGTAGCAGTTTTCCCATATCCTCCTTTATTACAGTCCATCTTTGATAAAAGCCATTATTGTAGATGTAAAGTGTATTTTTCTATGATTTTGATTTGCATTCTTCTGATGAGTAATGATATTTAGCATCTTCCCATATGCTTTTTGACCATTTTTTTTTTTTTTTTTGCTCTGTTCTTGACCTGCAGAATATCTTGGGCCTCAGCTCAAAATTCAGTTGGATTCTCTTCCTGCAGAGAATCCCCTGATGAACATTGAGGTTGTTGAGGTCCTCACACTGAACCAGGAGGTAGCTGGTGCCCGGAATGCCCAGATTCGTGCTCTCTATGCTGAAGATGGGGTCCTGAGCCCTGACACTCTCAAGGAGCCAGTACAGCAGCTAAGCAACCATCCAGCTGATCCTGAGGCAGCTCGTCAGAAATTTCGGCAGTTCCATTATGAGAATGTGGTAGGTCCCCGAGAAGCCCTTGCCCACCTTCGTGAACTCTGTTACCAGTGGCTGGAGCCTGACGTGCACTCAAAGGAACAGATGCTGGAGCTGCTGGTGTTAGAGCAGTTCCTCGGTGCACTACCTGGGAAGCTCCGGACGTGGGTGGAATCACAGCACCCAAAGGACTACGAAGAGGTGGCAGCCTTGGTGGAGGATGCAACTTGGATATCTGAGGAGGAAGGTGAGTGCAATGGAAGGGTAGGTAGGTGTGCTGCTCCATGTGGGTGTCTTAGAGTACTCTGCAGGAGAGAAAAGAACTTCACGCTTCTTGGGAGGGTCAAGGAAAGGGTAATGCACACTCTATGCAGACCAAAGACATCTGTGTCCCCATGTCAGAGCTGTCGAAATCCCTGGGTAGGTTCCAGCACTGTATTCTCCAAGGAGCCCTCCAGAGACTTCACTAAAAGCTTCCAGATAAAGTCCTTCTTTTTTTCCATTTGGGATCCCGCTGTACCACGATTCCTTTTTTTTTTTTTTTTTTGCAGTTTTTGGCCGGGGCTGGGTTTGAACCCGCCACCTCTGGCATATGGGGCCAGCACCTTAATACTTTGATCCACAGATGCCACCCACCACCATGATTCCTTTATTACTTGGAAAGATAGACAAAATTCTTGAGCTCTCAGAGCCTGTAGTCTAGCTAGAGAGACAGGGATTTGACAAATGAATGTGCATGTCATGGTGGTGGGATCAAGATGAGTTTCAGAGTCCTCTTGGAGCTCATGGAGGCCGAGTCAGTGGAGGTGACCTCTGGCCACGTAAAGAAAAGATAGGAAGAATGAGCATTGCTTGTAAGTACCTAAGATAGAATAGATCACAGTATGTGCAAAAATCAGGGATAAATTGGGTAGGTTGGTACAGGAAGGGAGCAGAGGACTGAGCTGGCACATAAAGATACAGAAAGTTACAAAGCAGTGGGAATTAATCCCTGAGCTCTGAAGGCAGAGGCCACAGTGAGACTTGAGACAGGTACAGGTGTTCCTGCCTGTAATCCCAGTACTCTGGGGAGAGGATCTCTTGAGCTCAGGAGTTGCAGACCAGCCTAAGCAAGAGTGAGAGTACATTTCTACCAAAAAATAGAGAAAATTATCTAGTTCTCATGGCAGGTGTCTGTAGTCCAAACTACTTGGGAGGCCAAGACAGAAGGATTGCTTGAGCCCAGAGGTTCGAGATTGCTGTGAGCTAGGTGGATGCCACAGCACTCTAATCTGAGCAATAGAGTGAGACTCTCTCAAAAAAAAAAAAAAA